TCCTCCTCCTCCTCATCCTTCCAATTCCTCCTCCCCCTCCTGGGTCTTCTCGTCTCCATTGCGAAGCGGTCCAAATCCGGTCCCAAACGTGTGCTTTGGTCCAAAGCAGGCCCAAGACGGACAGCGCCGGGGCCACGCCGGCTCCCACGAAACGGTCCCGCGCTCCTCCTCCTCCTCCTGCCCCTGCAGCTGCAGGGCAAACTCGGCGAGGTCCGCGTCCAGCTCGGCACCCGCCCCCGGGTGGTCCGCCCCGCCAGCAGGAGCCGGACACCCCGCGCCCGGCGGCGCCTCGGCGCCGCGCACCCCTGCTGCAAGGGGCAGCGATAGGGGGGGGGGCCAGCTCAAGGTTCTGCAGCAACTCATGGGAGCCACACACACCATCTTGTTGGCTCGTGCGTCTCGACGCTGATCGACGCTGAGTCGACGCGGATCGACGCGAATCGAGGCTAGTCGACGATGAGTCGGCGCTTTCTCATCGACTGCCAGACGCTAGCACACGCGAATGCACACACACAAGGCTCCCATGATTTGCCACCGAATCAAGGGCGGGAAACACGAGCGGCGAACGCATTCACGTATCCATATCCACGCCCCCGCGGTCTGGATTCCAGAGCGCGATCCTACGGATACTCGGTCGCACGGACGCGTTCCGCGCAGGGAACCCACGAAAACAAGGCGCGTACCCGTGGGATCGCGGCCCAGTCGAACCCAGCCAGCGAGGCCGCGAACACGGACCTCTGACTGCCTGCCCCTGGGGGAAACACGGACTTCGAAGCCGCGACGCGTCGCCGAGAGATCGGCGAGGGGCCCCCCCGATGGCGAGCCCACAAGCTCCCGGGCGGGGTGGGCGATCGGGCCCCCCTCGGCGATCCGTGGGCGATTGGGGCTCGGCGACGGCGTGATCTGCTCATGGCGTGGATCCCCAAAGGAGGTCTGGACACCCTCCCGGGGGCCAGGCTCCTCATCGTGAGGCGCGCGTGCACGGCCCCGAGGCCCCCAAGAGTTCCTTCCCCTCGGGGACGAACACCGGAGAACACAGTCCGTCGCTCGTTTTCTTCACGGCGCGAGCCTTATGTTGTTCCCACCCTACGTAAGGACCGCATCCCATAAGTAATTTCGAAAGTCTCAAGAGAGTGTCGAAACAGTGTTTGGCGAGTGTCCCCCAGGGCACGACACGTGAAAACCTTTGCGTTTCGGTACTTGTTTTGACGCTCAAAGTTCTTTCTCGTGATCAAGGCTAAAGTAGGTTGGAGCATCATAACGCTGGCCGCTAAGAGGGGGTCTCTGGGGGTCCCCCTTGGGCCCATCCCCCCCGATCGTTGCCCCCGATGCTGCCCCGAAGCCGCGGGCCACGAAGGGGGCCCGCCATGCGGCGCCGCCCAGCTCGTGGCCGCCCCCCTGGTGCAGGAGCTGCAGGGCCTCCGCCGGCATCAGGAACCTGGGGAGCCCAAGAGGCAGGAGGGCCCAGAATCGAATCAATAATTCGGATCCTGGCCATCGCTCGGAAGTCCATTCCCTGTGCTTTTATCGGTTTCGTGCGTGGCTTTTTTTTCGCAGGATGATCCAGGATGCTCATTAATAAACCCAGAATTAAGTCGGGCGTGTCCCCCTACAGGGGGGTTTTGAACAAAAAGACAAACCTCGTCAACAAATTACCCCAAAATATTCAAAAAATGCTAACGCAATCGTCCCCAGACTATTGTTTGACTAGACAGGCCCGACTTAAGCTCAGAATCGAATCGATAATTCGGATCTGCAATCGAGATCAATCGGGTCGGCGGAAAATCGGCAGGCGAGTCGGGGAAAGTCGATTCGGCGGAGATCGGCAGGCTAGTGTGCCTCCAATAAGAACTCGGAACCCACATCGGAATCCCACATCGAATCGAATCGGAATCGGAAGCCATCGAAATCAAATCGGATCGAATCGGAAGAATCGAGACGAGCCCCGAAAGGTACTGTACCCGTACCGCTGCCACCCAGACCCCACCCCTCCTGGGGTGCTTTCTGACCAGAATGCCGAGGCGAATCCAGCCGTGGCGACGAGGGCCGCCCAGCAGGCCCCCAAAGAAAGGCGGGTCAGCGGCAGCGGTAATTATGGGTACCTTCTCCCCCCCATCCGAGAGCCAGCGCAACTCCTCGGCCTCCGCCGGCAGGACGGCCGCGGCGGCCAGGGAAGTGGAGCCGTACCGGAACTGCGAGCCCGCCACCTCTGCCTGGGCCCGAGCCTCGGACAGGTAGCCTGCCAGCACCTGCGCGACGGGACGACAAGCGGGCCCGACGCGAGAACGCGCGGCGAACGTACACCGCGGCTTGCGCGGGCTGCCATCGCGGCACACCGCGTGCGCCTACGCACGACGTTTGACGCGGCGACACGCAGGAGCGGCCCTGGGCAAGAGTGACCTCTGGTGCGCGGCTTCAAGGGCCCAAGCCCACGCAAGCGCGCGCGCGCGCTGAAGCTCACTCCAGCGAAAGGTCACCTGGCCATCGCTCGGAAGTCCATTCCCTGCGTTTGTTTGTCGGTTTCGTGCGTGGTTTTTCGCAGGATGATCCAGGATGCTCCTTAATGATCCCCGCCGAGAAAAAGTGCACTCGTCCGAGCGATACCAAGTCACCTTACGCGTAGCCGACTTACGCGGGACGAGTGCTGGCACGGGCGCCCCCGTTTCCTTCCGTCGCCCACCTCGTCCCTGCACTGCCCAGGGGGGCCCGGCGTCGCGCGCTGCCCGGAAGGCGCCCCGCTCCCGGCCCGCGACCCCATCAGGGCGTCGTAGTCGATGCCGTGCAGCCAGGAGCGCGCGGGACGGCGGTTGTGCCTGTGCATCCTGCGGGTACTCCTTCTCCTCCTCCCCACTCCTCCCCCCTCCTCCCCCCCTCCTCCCCCCTCCTCCTCCTCCTCCTCCTCCTCCTCCTCCTCCTCCTCCTCCTCCAGCAAGCGACCACAGCCACATCGAGCACACACCCTGGGGAATACCTCGTGCAAGACTTCCACGTCGTCCACAACCACAACCGAAGGTCGCAGGTCGAGGTCGGCGAGTTCTCCAGCGAAGGACCCTCCAGAAAAATCCACTTGGCCGTGGTTGTGGGTCTGCTTTGGCGGCGAGCGAGGGGGGGAAGTGCGAAGGAGAAGGCCTTCTCAGAAGGCTTGGAAGTCCCCCGGCCTTCTGAGAAGCTGTTCAGCCTTCCCCGAAGACAGAAAAGCACTTCTCAGAAGGCGCAAGGAGTTCTGAGAAGCCACGCCCTCTTCTGAGAAGGCCTCCTCCTTCACACTCCCCCCCCTTACTCGCCGCCGATGTTTGTTGCGCCCAGACGTCCAGAGCCCCGTGCGCGCGTCGAAGGTGTACTGGGGCAGCAGCCGCCAGCCCTCCGAGGCCACGAAGCCCACGGCCTGCAGCACGTAGCCCACGGTGCTCTCGTCGATGAACAAAAGATTGAAGGGGCCCCAGGACACACAAATAAATACACACAAATAAAACTAGTCCCCATATTTTCCCATATTTTCTGGGGTTTTGTCTTTCCCACCACTTCCCATATTTTCCCATATTTTCCAGGAAATCGAAGATTAATTGTGTCTGTGTGTTTCTTTCCCTCCTGAAAGATGCACAAACATTTCGACGGCAACTCGTGGGAGACTCCCATACCATCTTGTCGGCTCTTGCGAGTCGACGCTAAATCGACGCCAAATCGACGCTAACCGACGCTGAACCGACGCTAACCGACGCTAAATCAACGCTATCTCATCGACTCCCACACGCTAATCCACGCTAATCGACGCTAAAGACGGAATTAAGAGGGTACACCAGGCTCCCATGATTTGCCACCGAAAACCATGGTCTTTCGACGGTCCGCACGGATTTCTTGGAGCGCCGCTGGAACCTCCTAGCGGTGCCTCCACGCGCCAGGGAGGAGGGGTCCAGCGCCGACCCAAAGAATCCGCGCGGACCTCCGAACATTTCTGCTTACGCGATTGTTTGTTCCTCGATCTCGGACATGGAATAGTGCAGGCTCAGCCGCACGTACCCGGGCCGGATCACCTCGTTATCCTCCTTCTTCCGGAGCTCCCGCAGGAACCTGCCCGACAGCTCCGGGGCTATCCCGAGCAGCTCCTGCGAGTACGGCCCCGCGCACATGCAGCCACCCCTGACCTGCAGGGCGGCGGGATCTGCACACATCCACTGCCCCATAGACAGGCCCATCCTGGGCCCAGGGACGGTGTACGTCAGGTTCGTGTCGTGCCGACTTCGGCGTTGGTTTCTGACACCGCGGGGATCGTTCAACCTGGAAGGATCGGCCGTTTCCGGAACGTCCAGATCGTTCCACATCGAACGATCCTGGGTCGCCCGCGGCGTTCAAAGTTGAACGTCGCTGGCGGGGTCGCCGCCGGTCGACACGACACGAACCTGCCATGCACATACTCCTGGCTGTTTGCAAGGGTGGCACACACACACACACACACACACTGCTCTGGGGCCCAGGCTGGGCCTGGCCAGGGGCTGTGGGCACGTACATAGGAGGTCCAAACATCCACCCCCATGATAACCACCCCGACACGCGAAGTCGTTCAGTAAACGCGCCCAAAGAAGGGATCAGACAGGGTATGGCTGTTCAGTACACGCCCTGGGCCGTTTCGTGAACGCCAACTGTCGGGTCCGGGCGGCTTTTCCACTCTCCTGAGTAGAGATCCCGTCGCCGGGGGCCTGGATCCCAAACAGGTCGTTCAGGAGCGCGCAGACGTAGTTGTAGTGGAGGTACATCCCCTGGCAGTGCACCATGAACGACACGATGGGCAGGCGGCGGGAGCTCGTGCTCCCGAGGACGTGTATGCTCGGATGCCGCGCCATGCAGCTCAGCACGCGCTGGCAGATCCCGTCGTCGAGCTCCGCGATGCGGTAGCAGCCGATGCGGTGCTTCAGCTGGAACGCAAGCCCGCATCGGATGGCGCCCACGAGCGCGGGAGTCCCTGCCTCCTCCCTCTCCTCGCAGTGCCTGAGGTACACGTGCTCCTCGGAGGAGACGTAGAAGACGGAGCCGCCGCCCGGAAGCGAGCACCTGTCGCGCCTCCCGCTCAGCTCCTTCTTGAAGATCAGGACGCCAGGGGTCTGCGGCCCGCCGACAAACTTGTGGGGCGAGATGAAGACGGCGTCCTTGTGCGCGCCCGTGTGGGCACCCTCCACGCGCGCGTTCATGTCAATCTCCACGTAGGGGCCGCTGCACGCGTAGTCCCATACGGCCAAGGCCCCATGCCTGTGCAGCAAGATGGATACGGCGTCTACGTCTTCGACTATGCCAGTCACGTTGGACGCTGCACTGAAGGCACCGATCTTCAGCGGGCGGTCCGCGTACTTTACCAGACACGCTTCTAAAGCAACGAGGCTCAGATTGCCCGTGCACGGGTCGTCTGGAATGCAAACCACTTCGGCGAGAGACTCCCGCCACGGCAGAAGATTCGAATGGTGCTCGTGCGAGCTGACGAACACAACGGTTCTACACATGTCTGGGTGGTCTCGTTGAAGTACGTCCTTGACCTCCGAGCTTGCGCTCAAGCCCAACATCTGGACTAAACGGTTTGCAGCCGCGGTGCACCCGCTCCCAACAAACACGAGGGCATCTTTCTTGGTGCACCCCGTGTAGTCCTTGATCATTGTACGAGCCTCTTCCATGAACAGAGTGGTCTGCCTCCCTGTTTTGCTGGTCTGCGTGTGGCTGTTCCCGTAAAGCGGCAATACCTGTTGACTGATGTACTCCTCAATGAATCCTAGAGCTTTCCCTGAGGCGGTATAGTCTGCATAAGTTATGAGCTTCTTGCCGTACGGGCCCTCCACCTCCTCGTTATCCCCGATGACGCTCTCTCTGACAAGATCAACGAGTTGCATTAAGACCAGAGGCACACTAACCGAACAACTTGAAAACACGCTTGCCCAACTTCGGCTGCGTCCGTCAATACCGCCGAGACACAAAAGCTGAACCTGCCAAAAGAATCCTGCACACTGAGCCAGCCTGTGTCGAGCTAGGCTACGGATTGCCACATCAGGCACCCCTTGGAAAATTATTATGGAGCATATACCCCAAACAATACATGCACTCGCCGGCTCAGGCTGCCCACGCAATATCTAGTGCAACCACGCTTGAAGCTCATGGCGTTGACAGTGCTGCTTCGCTGCTGCTACTGATGGCACTGATGCTACTCCATATGGTACTTGGTGCAACCTTCCTGACCCTGGAATGGATCAGACAAGGCAGGACATCGAGACTGTATTTTCGGCCAAGCGTTCTCATTCAGTTGGTTAACCGTCCCCTGTGCCAAGTTCCTGCAGGGCTGGCGGATGAATGTTGGAACAAAAACGAAGTCGCGTAGGGCCAGCGGGTTCACTCTTGAGGATGTCCCGACCGAAACGCTGGTTCTGTATATTCCGATCGATTCAACACATGGTCAAGTGAACGATGCCGTTTGCTGCGCATGTCTCGAGCGAAACGCCTGTTTTGCAGAATTGGTTGAGGATGCCTCGAGCGAAACGCTAGTTTTGTCGCTCCCCTGGCCGCCAGAATTCAGAGCATGTCTCGGGCGAAATGCTTGTTTTCACGTCCTCTGGTCGCCCAGAGGTGTATCTAACATGGTTGTCCCCAAAAGGAACCACATGATTTCACGAGCCCAGGCCACCCAAGGGGGGATTTCTAACATGGAGGTCCCGAACTTGAAGAACATGCTTTTACTTGTCCAGGCCACCCAGTGGGGTACCTAACGTGGTGGCCCCGAGCTGGAACCACGTGTTTTCATGTGTCCAAGCCACCCAGAAGGGAAATCTAACATAGTTGCCCCGAGCTGGAGCACCATGCTTTGACGTGTGCGGGCTACCCACAGGGTGGATATCCAACATGTGGTCGTCTGGGAGCCCCCTGCCTGGGGGAGACAGAAGAGCCACAAAAAGTCTACATCGACACCAAGAGACCGTTGTTGTTGTTGTTGAATCGGCGATAACCCGGGTTATCTGGGGGGGGAGGAGAAGGGGGTCGCCGATAACCTAACCTTCGCGCTGTGGGCAGCCCTGCATGTGCCCGCGCCCCACCACCCCGGACCTGCACAACCGGCAAGGTTAGGTTATTCTGAGGGAGGGGGGAGGGGGGGCAAGCCCGATAACCCGGGTTATCGCCAGACCCTAAAAAAACAGCCTCCAGATATGTAATAACTTGATACAGTTTCTTCGGTCGGTGACTGGCCAGATTTCCCACTGGGGTATCTAACATGTTGGCCCCGAGCTGGAATCACGTGCGTTTAGATGTCCAGGCCACCCAGGTGGATATCTAAGGGGTGGCCCCGAGCTGAAATTACTATTTTACCGTGCCCGGGTCACCGAGAGATGCATCTAACATGGTGGGCCCGCGGCTGGAACCACGTGTCTCCACTTGCCCAGGCCAGGCGGAAGGAGATCTGGCATGCTGGTACCGAGCTGGGACCCAGAAGGGTATCTAACATGGTGGTCCCGCGCTGGACCCCCGTGTTTTCAGGGTGCCAGGCCACCCAAGGAGATATCTAACATGGTGGTCCCGAGCTGGAACCAAGTGTATTACGTGTCCAGGCCACCCAAGGGGGTATAGAACATGGTGGTCCCGAGCTGTAACCATGTGTTGTCACGTGCCTAGGTCGCCTTGAGGTGAGTATCTAAGAGGGTTGCCTCGTACCCATTGCTGGAACCACGTGCTTTCACGTGCTCATGCCACCCAGAAAAGTATCTAACATGGTGGGCCCGAGCTGGAGCCACGTGCTGTCGCGTGTCCAGGCCACCCAAAAGGGTATCTGACATGGTGGTGGTACCGAACTGGAAACACGTGTTGTCACGTGTCTTGGCCACCATGAGGAGTATCTAACATCGTGGCCCCGCACTGGAACCACGTGCGTTCGCGTGTCCAGGCCACCCAGGGGGGGATTTCTAATATCGTGGTCCCGAACTGGAGCCACGTGTTTGACGTGTTCGTGCCACCCCCAGGGGGGGACCAACATGGGGGTCCCTAGCTGGAACCAAGTGTCTTTTCGTGCCCAGGCCGCGCAGGGGTGGATATCCAAGGGGGCTGCCGCTTGCCCCTCGCTGGAACGAAATGCTTTTACGTGCGCATGCCACCAAGAAAAATGTCTGACATGGTGGCCCCGAGCTGGTACCAAGTGCTTTCACGTGCCAAGGCCACCAAGAGGGGTATCTAACAGAGTGGTACCGAGCTGGAACCAGATGATTGCACGTGTCGGAGCCACCCAGAGGGGTATCTAACATGGTTGTCCCGAGCTGGAACCACGTGTGTTTACGTGCGCGGGTCACCCAATAAAGGGTATCTAACATGTGGCCGTACGGGCGCTTCCAGCGGGGGGGCCCATAAGAGGCAGACAAAATCACTAAATCGGCACCAGATGTGTAGTTAATAACATTCGGCCTGTGAAGTCCCGCATTTCCCACTGAGGCATCGACCATGATTATACCGAGCTGAAGCCACGTGTTCTGCGTGTCCAGGCCACCCAGTTGGATATCGAACAGAATGGCCCCGAGCTCGCGGTCGCGGTCGTCGCCGTCCGCAGTCGTCGTCGTCGTCGTCGTCGTCGTCGTCGTCGTCGTCGTCGTCGTCGTCGTCGTCGTCGTCGTCGTCGTCGGCGGCGTTTCGGCCCGCCGCTTCTCGATGCATTTCGCCTCGGTTTGGACTCGCCCTTATCATTTCGCCCTGCTTCGGAATATAATAAGTTCATGAGGTCTCGACTGCAATCAGCGCTGGGCGAGCAATGCGTTCATGCAGCTCGAGCTTGAGGCCGAGCTCAGATCTGTCAGGGTTCGGAAGCCAGGGAATGTTTGTTCCACGACGCAACAGGGCATAGAACTGTTCCGACTCGCCTACTTTCGGTTCGCTCCACTCCCGAACTGAATCGGATTTTGAGCTCGAGCTGGTCGAGCGCCCCGCGCGTTTCGATTGCGGTCAGATCTGAGTTATGCGTTCAGGCAGCTCGAGCTTAAGATCCAGATCAGTGCGATCGGGATTCTGACGCCACGGACGATCTGATCCTCAACACAACAGAGCACAGCACTCTCGCGGCATGGCGCGCCTCGGGTCAGCACAGCACAGCACAGTCCCTGGCCCTGTGCATCGCCATCGCCGCCTTGAGCACTGCAAATGCCGGTCGCCCAGATCTGCTGTCCAGAAGAATCTCCCTGCCTCACTCGGGGATCTTCTGACCCGGGTCAATCCAGACCCGGGTCAGCAGGAAACCAAAAACTGCAATGCAGGAAAAAAAAAAAAAACGCAACGCAGGTCTTCGCAAACCCGGGTCAGCCAACATGTGCGGCCGCCTCGCGGCCACGAGCGGCTCCCTAACCCGGGTCAGCCAGAGGGGGTCTTCGCAGGATCCTGCAGGATCTGGTGCCCTGGCTGACCCCCGTTTGCGTTGACCCCCGTCTCGAGGCTCCCTGCCTCGCACTTCTCTATCCCTTCCCGGGCTCATGGGCCGAACCTGTGGTCCGAACCGATGCCACGGGTTCTCGCCTGCGCCCCTCTGGCCCTCCTGCCCCAGGCTGCTGGTGGTCTCGAGAGGTAACCCGCGAGGCATGCCAACGTGCAGAGTGTGACGGGCCTCCAACATGCGAAGTACGGCCTCCTGACCGTCCCGAGCGCGAGAGCTGTGCTCAGGGGAGGCCGGATGCCCAACAACGCGATCCATAACCAGCCCTCCTACCTCCTCCCTCCTCCCTCCGCGAACAGTGGCGACAGCTGCGTGGGTGGACAGCCCCCCAAAACCGCGAGGGTTCGCGAGCCTACAGTCACAGTGGACAGAAATGTCATAAAACTACCCTGGAGCACTGCTGCAAAGGAGCTCAACCGAATTTTCTCAGGACAGTCTCCGCGTCGACAGCGATCAGCACAGAGCCGCTGTGGGGGGGGAACACCACTGCTGCTGCTGCTGCTGCTGCTGCTGCTGCTGCTGCTGGCCCCACCACTGCAACCTTAGCAGCAAAGATACAGACAAGCACAAGATGGCCTATCTCAAGGGGCCCAGGGACACACAAACACACAAAATATACACACATCCCAGGATTTCCCGTATTTTCCCACATCTTCTAGGTTTTCATCTTCCCCCCCACTTCCCATATTTTTCTTTATTTTCCTGAGAGTCGACGATGAATTGTGGTGTCTGTGTGTCTCTTTCCCTCCTGACTGTCCCGAGCGCGAGAGCTGTGCTCAGGGGAGGCCGGATGCCCATCAACGCGATCCATAACCAGCCCTCCTCCCTCCTCCCTCCTCCCTCCGCGAACAGTGGCGACAGCTGCGTAGGTGGACGGCCCCCCAAAATCGCGAGGTCTCGCTCGGGGGTGCGCACGACGCGACGACCCGCTCGGCCGCTCGGGACCCCACGACACTGGCAGAGGCTGCGCGCGGCAGGCAGGCCCCCCGGGGAGCCGCGAAATCCCGGGCGCGTGCGCGTACGTCGTCACTCCGCTGGGCCTCCCAGGAGCCCGCGAGAGTGGCGACGGTTGCGCAGGTGGCAGCCCCCAGGGAATCTCGAGGTCTCGTCTGGATGTGCGTATGACGTCTCTCCGCTGGGCCTCCCAAGCCGCGAGGTCTCGTTTGAGGGTGCGCATGACGTCGCTCGGCCAGGATTCCCCAGGGCCCCACGAAAGTGGCAATAGTTGCGCAAGTCGCACCCCCCAGGGAGCCGCGAGGTCTCATCTGGGGTGCGCGAAAGACGTCGCTCCGCTCCTTCGAAAACCCCGCGAAACTGACAGCCCCCACGGAAGCCGCGAGGTCTCGCCTGGGTGCGCGTAGGACTACACTCCGCTTGGCCTCCCAGGAGCCTACGAACGCGGTGACAAATGCGCAGGTGGCAGCACCCCTGGGAGCCCGGAGGTCTAGCTTCAGAGAGCGCAGGACGCCATTCCGCTGGGCCTCCCAGGGGCTCACGAAGATAGCGACACTTGCGCAGTTCAAGCGCGTCAGGCGAGAAGGGAGGAGGAGGTGGATGCAGGGGATAGCGAGAGGGGGCGGGGAGAAAGGAGGAGCCGAATCGTAGGCGGCGTGCCTGTAAGGCCACTGTTTGGGCTCTGTTCGGGCGGCCTCCCTGCGCCTCCTGAGGCGCTAAGCCCTTGCTGGGGCGCGACCGACGTCTATCTCGCGGCCCATGGAGGCGGGAGGGGGAGGCCGCGCGGGCAGTGCTCCAGGGCAGGACGAAGGCACGGGCACAGGGAGAACTGGGGAAAAGCGGGGCGGAGGGTGTGCGGGAACATGAGCTGGAGGGGCGCCCGTGGAGACGTGGGCGGCCCTCCCGAGCAAGGGTGAGGCAGAGGAGGAGGAGGAGGAGGAGGAGGAGGAGGAGGAGGAGGAGGAGGCGGCGGCGGCGGCGGCGGCGGCGGCGGACAACGGCGGGCCCCAAAGACGCGACCACTCTGCCTCATCCGCGGGCAGGGAGGGAGGGGAAGGGAGATGTCTCAACTGGCCCTCCTTCGGGGATCTGCTGACCCCAGGTCAATGCACACCCGGGTCCGTCGGGCTTCACAAGATGCCGCGCAAGAATCCTGCGGGATCCTGCGCGCTGTGGCCCAGGTCTGTGCACCCCTGGCTCTGCAGGAGCCTGCGGGACCCGGCGCTCTGGCGGACCCCCGTCTGCACGGGCCCCCGCCACTGCCAGCTCGACTCCTCCGAGCGAGCGCCGCGCCGGGCCTGCTGCGGCTGCCACGGAGCCCCTCTGCCCCTGTGGCGGGGTGCCGACGAGCTGCCCGTTGAGGCTGAGGCTGAGCGGGCCGCTCCTCTCCAGGGATGCGAACCGACCTCCTCACCGATCCTTAGATGATTCTGGGGACCTTCTTGGAGCCACTCGCTCCACTCGTGCGTCGAAGCTGCGTCGAAGCTGCGTCGAAAGTCCGTCGAACCTGAGTCGAACCTGAGAGTCGAACCTGAGTCGAACCTGAGTCGAAGCTGAGTCGAACCTGAGTCGAACTTGAGTCGAACAGATCCATGAGGTGGGCCCCAGAAAAGTTACAAAAACGTTCGTCGAACGATCCTGGCCAGGGCCCATCCTGGGCTTAGGTCGGGCATGTGTCCTCCTACAGGCGGTTTTTGGACGAAAAATGATACAAATACGGAACAAATCAAACAAGTACCCAAAACATAGTATAAAAAACGTCCCCTGACTATGTTGTGACTATTTTGGAATATTCCTCCTGTGGAGGGACATGCCCGATTTAATCCTGGGCCTTGGAGCTACGAATCTCCCCGCCTCACTTGGGACGCACAGAGACATACTAATAGTATATGTCCGCCTTGGAGGCGCGCGCCCGACCCGATATATAGTTTCTCGAGCGGTGTGGCCAGAAAGCGCCCGCCACGACGCGTGTACCATAAGATTTCTCGGAGCGCGCGTCGCCCCTGGGGGGGCGACGAACACATAGCAGAAGCATGCTGGGGGGACGCCGATCCCTGGCTCGACCCTCGAGGAAATCGCGGGGTGAGGCTGCGGAGAGGTATCGGAAAAGGCTTCGGGCCTCCATGTAGAGGCGGTGCCCCCACCCCCTCCGGGAAACCGAGGAGGGGAAGAAAGAGGGAAGAGGAGGAGGAGGAGGTGGGAGGAGGAGGTGGGAGGAGGAGGTGGGAGGAGGAGGAGGAGGAGGAGGGTGAGGAGGGGTTACAGAGTTATGGGTATGGCGACTGTGTCGGTTACGAATAGAAGCAGATTAAACCCGCTGCTTCTTGGCTCTTCTGGCTTGCTCTCGCTTGCTGTAGACCTTGGGCCCCAGACCCTGGAGAATACGTCTGCGATAATCGCTTCGATTACCGTCGAGGCGTTTGGTGCATTCCTTACCGAGCTGTGCTAGCTGTTCTGCTGCAAAACTCCCACAGACATTGCAAAACCACACCGTCAGCCCCGTGTGAAACATTACAGTGTGAGACCCGTGAGCGTACCCCCCCCCCATGACGTGCACCCTTCGCCCAGGAGGGGGTCTGCCAATCAAGCCACCCACACTAACTAATTCAAAACATGGTGAGCTCAGCCACTCGTGCTTACATGCGGGCGAAGCCGACCCGTGACATCGCGTGCAACTACGGCCGTTACCGCCGAGGTGGTGTTACGAGGCGAACGTTGCACAAATACTTGCTGCAGGGGGTCGGACGGCCACGGAAGAATATTTACGTTGCCTGCGCCGAACCCCCAACGTCCTCAGCCTGCAACAAAAAAATCTTCAGCATGGGTTGCTTCAAGCGTGCTCTGTAATATGCGTGTGCGCACGGCGAAAGCCATACTCCCAACACTATGTACCCGCCTGCGCGTTCCCTCGGACAAACGTGCAACCTGAGCTCCTGCGGCGGCGAACTCATTTGCAACAGTGTCGCCTGCAACGATTCGCCTGGGAGCGCGCTCACCTACCATGTGCTCGGCTCCGAGGTGAGAATGAAAGAACAAAACTGTGCCATGCAGGTCGGGCTTGCGGGCGATCTCCTGTCCGATTTCCCACCAGAGGTCAGCACCGGCTCCGAACGGGGACAGCCAACGAGACTCATACCAACCTGAACACAGTGTGGAGTTATCCGATGTGTCTGTAATATGCCCTCCCCTCTCGCGCAAGCACGCCCACAGACAATACAACTCCCCGAGCACAACGGTTCGCCGATCCCCTGAAGGGCTGACCATATGCCGAGTGAAATGTGCATGTCGCCGTCAAGCGTGCGAAACAGGGCGACTCTGAGACCGACCCGACGAAGGCGAGGATGGTGCTGGCGTCACCGAAGGGTAGAGGGGGTGATCATCCGAGCCTCGTCAAAATCAAGTAAAACCTGCGCCTTCTGAAACACGCCACTGCTCGCAGTCGGGTGGGTCCTCGACGGCGACCCACGACAATGGCAGCAGCCCCCTCGTCCAGAAGCATTCCTCGGCCTCGGCCTGGGCGTAGGTCTTGCCGACGTGCTGCTCGCTCAGCTGGTAGACGGGGCTGGCTGATCGAGACTCGCATCCCCAGATCCTGTGGAAGCTAATCTCATGTGCGGCTCGACAGCGCGGGCATTCCTCAGCGATCTTCTGCTTGCAGCGCGATTGCCTCCTGGTCCTGGGCCGAGAGGCCCCCGCCGTTGCCGCCAGTTTCAGTCCTGCCAGCCGAGGTCCACCTGGCCACTGTTCCAATTGTTGGAATAACTGCCGATGCGAATGATTACACATGCCACCTTCCATTCCACAGCCGTCAAAGTGTTTTTGGCAGCATCCGCCCACAGCTGGGCCTGCACAGTTGATTGAAGCCCTTGAAAGAACACCTCAGGGATATAAGGCCTGATTCCAGTTGCTCGCGCCGTCGGGGATGTCCCAGGAATTGGCCGCTGCTGGGTGCCAGCATGCGTTCAAAAGGTAGGTGATGACCGTCGCCTGGGGCCCTCGGATCCTCCGACGCTGCTGAGCCGCGGGGAGGCCCGTGAGCCACTGAACCAAACCACCTCGAGTGCGACCGACGCTGACTCGAAGATGAGGTTCAGAGACCCACGTGGCCAGCCACATCCTCAGCGTGTCCAAGGGCAGACGGTAGGCTGGGCCCGCTGCGGCACCTTGAGGTCGAGGAGCGTCGCAACGCACCTGCCCGTGAGTCGGGGGGGCAGATGAGTTGGCCAGCTGCCGACGTACGGAGGCCATCTGACCTCCGAAAACGCCGTGGAGTTGGCGAGCGCAAAGTCCTGCTGGCGACGCGCCTTGCTGCTCAAGCCGACTGGTGAGCCGATGCCGCCGAAGTGTCCGAGCGGATCTAGCGATCCTGGCCGACGTCGCGTGGTGCTTAGTTGCTCTCGATCGTCTCGTAGCCCGTGCCTGCCTCCGCCTGCCACTCAAGCCGGCGCCGAGATGGGGAGCATGGCTAGCAGACTTCAACTTGATTCCATGGACGGCCACATGCCGAGTGATGATGCGCGCATCCTCGATGCGACTGCAAATCCCGAGGCTCTTGGGGGAGATCTTCAAGACTGCTGCTTCCGTGCTGTGGCACGTGTCGAGAAGGCAAATCGTCATCTGCTCACGCATGCTGATCCTCGGGCCACGAGCCACTTGGGCGAGGTCGTCCACCCAAAGTCGATGAGACACATTCACGTGGGCGGTTGTGATCTTTGACACTGTAAAAGGAGTAGCGCACTTCCCGAACCGCGCGCCTGCCCTCAGCCCCATGTACGATTGAGCGGGCGGGGCAGAAGGCGGGGGGCCATATGTTCCAGCTTGCCTCGCGCACCGCACTGCCATGCATTGCTGGAGTTCGAGCCCAAGGATCTCAGCAGGAAGCTCGAGGCGCAATGCTGCGGCCCCGATGCGATACCAACCCACACTATCATAAAACTGCGCTATGTCACATAGACCATGCCCGCGCGCAACTCCAAGCCGCCCCGCTAGTCCTTCGACGACTGTTCGTTGACAAAAACCGCCCGTGCAGCAGAATTGCCGCGCGCCGCGGCATCCCAACGCGCCTCGCAATGGTCCGCCCATGTCTCGACGTAGCCCTCGCGGGCCTGTGACCACGTTCTGCCGACATGTGATAAAAAAAGCCCGATGACTCGATCGCCGCTGACCTTTTTCGGCAGCGATGTACCGACGGTGGCCAAGACCTGGCGTGGCCACACTTGATGAAATTCACATAGAGAAAGACAAGCTGCCAGCTCGGCCAGAGCGATGCCTGGCAGGCGACCCACGTCCAAAGAACACAACCGGCCAACTCCCATCGCCGACGAGGGCTTCATACGTCGAAGCACAGATCGAAGGTCGGCGACCTCGATGGGCGGCAGTGCTTCGTCCTGGGCGCGGCGCCTGAGATCTCCGAACAAATCTAGCAACTGCTCGTGACCCTGCCCCTGCGGTGCCCACAACTCGCGCCACTGCTGGGTTTTATGATCCAGCACGTCACGCGGGTGAATAAGCGCACGATTACCAACTTCGACTGAGTCGGAGGCCAGAGGTGAAGATCGAATAGCCTTGTGTAGGGCACCGACCGCTGGAGCGGTCTCTGCCCAGTCTCCGAAAGACGAGATCGACCGATGAATTGCCCTCTGCTGGCTTCGCCGAGCGAGCTTCTCAGCGAAGTCACAGCCTGCTGTCAAGCCAACCTCTGAAGGGGATCCTGGCACCACCCCAAGTAGAACAATACTTCCAATGCGACCAGGCGCGGGGGCCGCGCATCCGAAGGACACGGTGCGCCTCCTCTGGTATGCTACCACGAAGCGCGTCGATTGCCTCCACGAGTATATGCTGCTGCTGCTTGCCTCCGTATGTCGCCGACGATACTGAAGGAGAGACGTGAGGGCTGTGGCTAGCCTGGTCCACCAGCCGCTGACCTTGTCTCGTAGAGGCTCCAATCTCTGCGCAGTTGACTGCTGCGCGGCGCCGATGCGGAACCTCGCTGCTTGCCCGCGTGATAGGGTGGGGGCGGCCTGTGGTGGCGGGCGTAGATGGCCTCTTCCACCGCGCGGACCCAGCTACAATAAAGTGAACTGATGCGTGGAGCTGCCGAAGCCTGAGACCCTAGCCAACATGCTACGGACTTGGCAACAGCATCAGCAGGCACGCAAGCAGCATTTGGGGTGAACCCGGCCTTTCTCCGAGCCTGCACCAACATTTCACCGCTGACTTGAAACTCGGCTTGAGACTCTACGGGGGGCCCTGAGCTCACCGATTGAGACGACATCTCCGACGCGCGAGACCAGTGGACCTCTCAGTCTGCGGGGCTGGGCGCTTTACTCGGGGGGCGCTCGGCCCCCATGGGCTGAGTAGTGGCGCGACACTCGACTGATTCAGCTTCGACTAGGGCAGAGGGGCGAGGGATAGCTGCAAGCGGGGCCGCGGGCGGTGCAACTGATGTGAAGTTGCTCTCGTCAGCCCACGGGTCGCACTCGGAGATGTTGCCCCAATCGGCGGAGCGGTGGCAGCTGGGCGCCTCCGAGGCCTTGTCGGTCTCGTCGTCTGCGCCCTCCTGGCGCTCATGTCTTCCCTGCCGACGGGGCTCTAAACTCTCTCCAAACTTTTCTCGGATTTTCTGTTTGCGCTTTTCTCGCGCGGTCTGCCTAGCGAGCTCCCTCTTGATCTTAGGCACGCTAGACCAGGACACAGCAACAGCCTGTTTCTCGGGCCTGCCGGCGGGGGGGGGGCCTCGGAGGGAGCTCGAGAAACTTCGTAAACAACTGACTACCTGAGGACACAAGCTCAATGCACAATCCGATGCGAGGCTCCCATGGGGCGGCGCAGGCAGCGGTGGCCGATCGAATGCAAGCCCGAGCGGCAGGGCACACTACAAGATAGTCGAGGCCCGATGGCTCCTCACCCCTCCAGGCGCGCGCGCGCACTCGGCATTGCTGCGCAAAATCTGCCCCCCAGCGCGCCCCAGAAATCTAATCTCTACGAGGGCGCAAGGGGTGCAATGCCAACCGCCAGCAACGATCCAGGGGAGCTGGGGGGGGGAGAGAGAGAGAGAGAGAGAGAGAGAGAGAGAGAGAGAGAGAGAGAGAGAGAGAGAGAGAGAGAGAGAGAGAGAGAGAGAGAGAGAGAGAGAGAGAGAGAGAGATATTAAAACACCAACGAGTATGCGAAATCTCGAAGCATTCTGATCCCGAAACCGATGGAAGATCGGCCGTGTGCGACGACATACACGACAGGGAATCCTTCTAAATGCAAAGCCACAAGCAACAACCCATCACATGCCGAGCCGCGATCTGCTCGCAAACCGCTCGCTGACTTCCCAGCGTCCAACACCAGAACGGGCAGATGATTCTTGGCATAGAAGAACTCTCCGCCTTCGCAGCTCTGGGCCGAAGCTTTGGAATTCGGCCGAGCAGGATTGCGCAACAGCTTTAGAGAACACGCACGCGCTTTCTTACGCCATCCTACTACGGCCCCTGGAAGTGCATGCGTTTCGCACATGAACATGCAATCGAGCGAGCTACCCTGCAAAAGTTGAATGTTCCCCAGGCCTTATCGCCCATGCAAACCACGTTCGCGAGGAAAAGAAATGACGAAGTAGATGATGCATCAAACGGCGTCGTCGTCGACTCTCCGATGCCTGAACCCGAAGTGGCCGCAGTGGACGTCGCCTCGGACGCACAGCTGCCAGAACCCGAAGTTGTTAGACCAGTACTCGAAGGCGTGGTACCGGCACTCCCCGATGGCGACGCCGAGGTCGCCGTAGTGGTTGCACTGATAGACCGCAGTCAAGAGCTCGCCCCCGGCGTGCCTCCTGCAGGATCAGCGTCACGGGCTGCAGTGGCGGCGTCCTTCTCCCGAGCCGCTGCCTCCTTCGCTGCGAAGCGCGCCTGAGACAAGCGCTCGGCCTCGCGCTTGATGGCCGCCTCCCCCTCAGCCGAGGTGCCCGCGGGCGCTGCGCTGCCGCCCGCGCTGCCCGCGGACGGCTGGCCACTGCTAACGCCACCGGTGGGGGCCGCTGCCTCGTCAGCACCGCCAGCGACCGCGCCGTCGGCGCCGCGCCGTTTCTTGGACATCCGCTCCCGCGCGGCCTTCTGCTCGCTCTTGACGCGCTCCACGAAGTCGCTCCACTCCGCGTTCTTCGCCTCGCTCGTGTGGTCCGATGGCTCCGAACTCCGCCTTGAGACTGCGGAGCTTGTCCTTGTCCGTCTCCTCGCACTCCCACTCCTCGAAGGATGCGAAGGGCTCCTAATTCATGTTGAGCCCGAAACACGCGGGTTCGCTGCTGCCGTCGCTCTTGGCCGAGGTGCGGAGACCCTCAGCTCGGGCTAGAGCACCTGTGGCGGCGCGCTTGGTGGCCTCGCACGTGGCCACCTCCAGCGCCGCCTCCTGCTCCTTCTTCTCCGCTATGGCCAACTGCTTCCGCAAGCGGATGACCTGCTCCGAGCTGGCTGTGCCTGTTGGCCGCCCCCTTGAGCACGCCATCGGTCTGCTTGACCTGGTCCACGTCCGAGGTGGGCGCCTGGGACATCAGGTTGCTGAGGTGCCCCTTCTGCACCTTCAGCACCGCCTTGAGCTCCGCGTCGGCGCTCTGGGCCAACGCTTGCTCGAGCAGTGCCGCTACCTCCTGCTGTTGCTTGTCCTTGCCTTTGCTCTTGCTGCCCCGCCGACCGCGGGGTGTGCCCGGGCCCTCGGACGCGCCCTCGAAGCGCACTTGCCGATCTCCGTGATCATGACTGGGGGACCGAGACCTGGCAGGCTTGGGAACGAAGATGCGGACTGTGTGGGTGCAGGACGCACACCGGTTGTTGTTCAGCAGCAGGCGATGATTGTACTCGCATGCCTGACAGAAACTGCATCTGGACCACGCTCGCAGAGGCTTGCTGCTGCTCTGTTGCGGCTTTCCCATACTGCAATGAATATATCCCAGCTCTCGTGATCCTCAACTAAATGTGGGGGAAAAAATGTGAAGATATTCATCAAGCGCCACGTGAAGGCACTGGGATTGGACTGGAACAAGTGTCTTCGACGGGGCGAAGGACGTGGGCTCGAGCCCGAACGGCTTAAGGGAGGGTGAGAAGGGGGGGGGAGGAGGAGGAGGAGGAGGAGGAGGAGGAGGAGGAGGAGGAGGAGGAGGAGAGGAGGAGGAGGAGAGGGAGGAAGAAGAAGAAGGAGGAGAGGAGGTAGAGGAGAGGAGGAGGAGGAGGAGGAGGAGGAGGGATTGAAGGAGGGAGAACGAAGAGAAGAGGGCGCAGAGCGGAAGAATGAGGGAGGAGGGGCGAGGGGGAGGGGCAGGGGGCAGAGGGTTTTTTTGACATCAGCGGCAAGCACCCAGCGGGAAACCGAGAGGGGGAGGGGGTGAGCCCCCCCCTGCCCCTGAGATACTGGCGACCCAGATGTTTCGAGCCCGGCCCGGCGTTTTCGCTTCGCTATCTTTGGGCCCCGCGGGACCCTCACAGACCGATCCGGCTCGAAAAGCAGAAGAAGAGGAGTTCCGGGCGTCCGGTCGTGATTGTCTGCGATGTTGCGTTTTTTCTGCAGTGTCGGATCTCAGGGGCCCGGAAACCGAGGGCGGGGGAGGGCTGGGGGGTGACACAGAAGTACCCCCCCCCCCTTTTCCCGGTCGAACCGAACTGGGGAAGACGGAGACCCCCCTGACCGGAAAGCAGGGGAGGGGGGGACAACCCCCCCCCCTCCCAGTTCGAACCAGCGGTTGGGGTACAGACTCCCCAACCCCGTATCAAACTGGGGGGGAGTCTGTACTTGTTGAACTCTGCCTGCGAGCACTGCTTGCACTCAGGGGTTCTTACTTGTCGCCCCACGGAGTCAACGGGTCCAGCGAGGTCTTGCCACGTTGCCGCCCGTAGCCTCCCCGTGCGCTGCATGGGTCCGGTGAGGTCTCGCCACGTCGCCGCCCGTGACCGCCTCGTGGGTCCCTTCAGCTCGCACCACGCATACTCCACCACACAGCTTACACCGCACGGCCGGGGACGATTCGAGCATCAGTTAGCTTGTCTTCTGGGTCGCTTGCTGCGGCCCGGAGGACTCGACGGCCGGGGATAGATATTTGAGCGTCCCCTTCCCAATGGGGTGCTCAGAGGGGTGGGCATTTCATCATCGTTCGGTCGCATGAGGGTTCAGAGCTTGCACCCGAGGTTGCAGTTCGACAGCGGTGCTCAGGTAGGCAGCCACATGTGAACCGTACCCCAGCAGGCAAGAGTTCTTAAACGATGGCTGGGGTGAAGAATCCGAACCACGTCTGCAGGCAGGTAGACCCCAACGGGAGTCTCCGATGCCCAAGCCTCGATCGGATCGGCTGGGGTGGGGTTCGCATGAGATGGCAGAGCTCCTCCTGCTAAACCTGCTAAACCTGTCGGGTACATACGCGAACAAGACGAGGTGAGTTTCGACACTGGGGTGGCGGTGTGGCTGATTATGTTCGGCCTCCGCATCCTCCTCCTCCTCCTCCTCCTCCTCCTCCTCCTCCTCCATCTCCTCCTCCTCCTCCTTCTCCTCTTCCTCACCATCACCACCAACAGCACCAGAATGACCACCATCATCATCAGCATCATCAGCAGCAGCATCAACAACATCATCATCACCATCATCACCATCATCACCACCATCACCATCACCATCGCCGCCACAACCGTCGCCATCTCTATCCCCTTCCCCTTCCACCTCCCTCCCTCCCTCCCTGCGCCCACTCTTACATCAAAACATGGGACTGGAAACACACTCGCGGTTGCCACTGCCCCAGGCTCCTCCCGCCGATCTGCGCGGCCAGGGCATCGGCTGGCGTGCCAATGCCAGTCCAGTTCTTGACCCCTGCCAGCGAGCGCGCTCCAGCCGACGCCAGGGCCCCCGCCGAGGAGGACGATGCCAGAGCTCCAGCCGACGCGGAAGCAACCTCAAGATGCAAGGGCGGGGGCAAAATCGAGGACGAAATCGAGCAGCGCACGTCCCTGTGAAGGTGAGTGCCGCGTGGTAAATCGAAAGCTGAGGGTTACAATCGCCGAGCATGCGACCGATGAGCGGCGTGCACGAGCTCAGAGCGAAGCTTTGTTATGGCACACGCTGCAGAAAGAGCAATGAGGAGGAAGAGGAGGAGGAGGAGGAGGAGGAGGAGAAGGATGAGGAGGAGGAGGAGGAGGAGATGGAGAACGAGGACGCCAAGGAGGAGGAGGAGGAGGAGGAGGAGGAGGAGGAGGAAGAGGAGGGGGAGGAGGAGGAGGAGGAGGAGGAGGAGGAGGAGGAGGAGGAGGAGGAGGATTAGATGGATGGCGGAGGCCTCAAAAATGAGGTCCGAGCAGATGGGGCTGGAGGAACGCGCCGCATCGCCGATGCATCGGCGATGCATCGGCGCCGTTTGCATGGAGAAATCTTGGCTCCACATCGAGCCGCATCGCCGATACATCGGCGATGCGGCGCGATCATGCGACATTATCTGCTCGGGCCCCACTGAAGAGGCCTGGAGATGCCACCACTTCCGTGGAATGTCGCTAATGAGTGGGCTGAGTCGACTGGCTCTCCCGCACAACACTGCAGGCCCTCTGCCATCGGTCGCGAACTCGCAGTCACGAGCACGGCGAGCAGGGGCCCTGCCTGAGAAGTGCCAGACGCCGTGTGGAGCAGGCTGCAAGACGAGACACTCGCGTGACTGGCGCTGGCCAGCAGCCCCTGGCCAGCGCGCAGTGGACGCGGGCGGACTGGCACCCCTCACCGGGGTCGCAGGATACAGGGCAGCCGGGCCGACCCGACGGCACTTCACGGCCAGCCCAGCTCCGGTCCAGCGCGCCGTCTGGCGCCCATGGCTCCCCCTCGCGCGCCTCTGAACCCGCCCGAAGCAGGGCGCCTCCCGCGGCTCCTGCAGCGCGGGGCACCACCTCGTGAAAATGGCCCGAGCCCACTGCCAGCACCGCCGTTGCCCCCAGCGCCTCGCAGGCCGCGCACCCGTCCGTATCGTGACGGCCGTGTTCTGCCGGCACTATCGTAAACGGTGGCCAGAAGCCACGCCCAGAGCACCGCCGCACGCGAAACGGCACCCCATGGCGCCCGGCGGGAGCCTGAGGCCAGCGGCGGCCGCAATGCGAGGAGGTCCGTGCGCGGGATCAGCCTTTCGTCGCTGAGGCAGGCGAGCTGGCTCGAAAACCCCCTTTGCTTCTGCGCCAGCACCGCGGACGGGAGGACTGCGTGTTTCTGCCGCTGTGCCGCCCGCTTGGGCGCGCAACGGGCACGGTTGCACTGCATCGCCCAGGCTGCCCGAGCAGAACTGTCGCACCACATCCACATCCCTTGCATGCTCAAGTGAGGTGGCCGAACCCAGACATGTCGCACCATATCCGCATCCCTCGCATGCTCAAGCGAGGTGGCACATGCAATCGCCCGCGAACCAGGCTCCGCTGCGGCTACTTGGCTCGACCGGAACACTGTCAGCAACTTCGCGCGAGCAAGGGCAATCCACTGCAGCGATTTCGCCCCCCAGCGTATCAGGATGCGCGCTTCGGCCATCGCCTGCGCGTGCACCTCCTCCGCGAAGGCCGTGCCCTTGTCCACCCCAAGATCACTCTGGCTGCGTCGTACATCATGAGTTTGAGTTGCGCCAGAGCCGCACGCCAAGCTGGCCCGTGGCTGGCCAGCAGCTTAGCACCGAAAAGCGGCTGCCGCCTCCACCCTGTTCGGGACCAATGCTGACTGATACGGCCTGCTGAACCCAAACATTGCTCCACTGACGCCCTCACGCAGGCGCCCGCACACCTTCGCCGTGTTCCCACCAGCCAGTCCGCGGGGCCCCCGGGCAGGGAAGTATAGGTGGACAGGACAACGGCCCGAAGTCAGGCTCGGGGCACGCCTAGCCAATCCCTGCCCCCGTGCCGAAGGCACTGCCGCAGTCTGTCCAGGCTGCCTCCGGAGAAGGAGCGGCAGTAGCAAGAGGCGGAGGCGGAGGGAAGGGGGAGGGCCAGTGGGGACCCAGACATCCGACGTCGTTGACCCTCAAAGGTCAAGACCCCACAAGGACCACAAAAAACCTTCCACAAGAAACCCAACCCTGAGACCCCAAGACGTCACGCCTTCCATCGCAGAACCATCGAAGCCCAAGAAACCCAGGGCACCCTGGAGGCAAGCAGGGTGTTTCTTGGCATGGGTTTACACTGTAGACCTCTTCCTCGGGACAGGATGTCCATCCCGAATCTCTTTTCGGCCCCCCTGGGGTCTGGTGAGGCCCCTCCGGAGGCCGAGAGTATACGAAACCGCCCGTCGCTATTGTTCACAACGAGCGGAGGTGGGGGGGAGGACCCCCCCGGGGAGGAAGTCAAAGATAAGACATGAATGAGACCAACGCGTCATCTGATGCACTGAGCATGCTGCGGAACTGTTATCGTCACCGTCTGCAGTCAAGTTGGCGCTCTGGGCCCGTCGAGAGGCAGGCCCCTTTCTCTCGCAGGCACGCGCTCGCCAGCAAGCGCTTTGGCACTGCAGGCTCCCCACTCCTGCACTCGGATTAGGTCGGGTTTGTCCCCCTACAGGGGAGTTTTGGACGAAAAAACAAAATAGCAAACAAAATGCTCAACAATAGCCAAACAATGCTCAAAACATCGTCTCCAGACTATTTTTACTATTTTTGAATATTCCCCCTGTAGAGGGACACGCCCGACTTAACACTCGGCGGGAGCATGGGGCCGCAGCACCCCCAACATGTCCCAGGATCAGTCGGCATCGGATCGGGAGATCGGATCGAGTCGAAAGGTCCAACGGATCGGGCTGCATCGGCACGCAACCGAGATCGAATCGGATCGGCTGCGCCGGGATGCACAACATCACCGTACAAGCACTGGGCCGCATCGGATCGCCAGAATATTGGACTCGCATCGGGTCGGGCCAGCCGAAATCGTTATCTGATCGGATCGATCGGATCTAGAGGAAGACGAAGCTGCATAAACATAAACATAAACTGTTGGAGGTCCGCGCGGACTTGTTGAATCGGCGCTGAAACTCCCCTCCGTCAGAAGCACCGCCATTGGGGCTCAGCGCCGATCCAAGAAATCTGTGCGGAGCGCCGAAAGTGTATGTTTACGCAGCTTTTTCCCGGAAAAGGCGTGGGCCCAGGGTTCTCTTTTAGTTGGTCAACCTGTTCCCGGTGCCATGCTCCTGTAGGGCCTGCGGATCCTTTTCCTGATAACAAACGAGGTCGTGTAGGGCCGGCGGATTGGAAGTTGAGGATGTCCCGAGCGAGCCGCTGGTTCTCGATATTCCCATCTAAAAGGCACAAGGTACAGTAAGCATGTTCGTTTGTAGCGGTTGTTTCAAGTGAAACGCTTGCTTTGCAGAAATTGTTGAGGATTTCTCGAGAGAAACGCTTGTTGTGCCATAGATACATTGCTCATCTCTTGGTGGCCAGAATTCAAAGTATGTCTCAGGCGAAATACGAATGCCCACGTGCGCGAGCCACGCGGTCGTCTGGGGGCCCACAAGAACCAGACAAAATGAATACATCGGCACCAGAGGTGATAATGTGACACAGTTTCTTCGGCTGGTGATTTTCCAGGTTCCCCTTGGGGTATCTAGCATGGTGGTCCCGAGCTGGAACCACGTGTTTTCACGTGCACAGACCACCCAGAAGGGTATCTGACATTGTGGCCCAACCACGTGTTTTTTTTTTTTTACGCGTCCAGGCCACCCAGGAAGGCGTCGAACATGGTGGCCCCGAACTAGAACCATGTGGTTTCAAGTGTCCAGGCCACCCATAGGAATTTCGAAAATGGTGGTCCCGAGCTGGAGACACATGTTTTCACGCGCCCAGGCCACCGAGAGGAGTATCTAACATGGTAGTCTCAACCCGAATGTGTTTCTCGCTGGTTAAACTGAACTGAACTGAACTGAACTGAGCTGAACAGACTGGCCGCACCCGTTGCGCGACGGTGTTCTTCTCGGCCGCCAGGGGCGCAACCAATGGCGCAACCGATAGGAGACGGTTTTATTCTCGGCCGCCAGGGGCGCCACCTATGGCGCAACCGATAGGAATCGGTTTTATTCTCGGCCGCCATGGGCGCAGCCTATGGCGCGACCGATAGAAGACGGTTGTATTCCAGGGCTGGCATGCCCTCGCGTGCCCCGCAGTGGGTACGGGCCCTGGCCTCCCAGGCCATGGAGGGCTGCTGCAGCTGGCGCCGCGTGCGCATGGCCTCGGAGCCTTTGAGATAAAGAGCGGCTTCGAGCTCTTCCCTGGCAGGGCCTCGGTCGCCCACTTCGCTGGCATTGTGCCTGGCGGAGTTGCCTGGTTCAACACTTACCTCAAGGACAGCGAGGGCATGTCCGACTTCAACTACCAGGTGCTGCATGCCGTCTACCGCGCGGCTAAGCAGGTCGCCAAGCCCATCATCATCGGCGGGGGCTTCAATCTGGAGCCGCAGGAGTGGGCGGCGTCAGGTTTCCTCAGCGCGCTCAAGCTCAAGGTGGCCGCCCCTGTCGAGGGCACCTGCCGCCCTGGGGGGCGCATCATCGACTACTGGGCCATCAGCACTACATTCGGCGCAGCGGAGGCCAAAGTGCTGCGCGGCTGGAACCTAGCGCCGCATTTTCCTGTCCAGTTGAGGGTCGACGGCAGCACCTTCGCCAGGAAGATGCAACTCATCGAGACCCCTAAGCGCTTGCCCTGCCCGTTGCCGACCGCGTGCTGCAGCAAGGACCACTCAGTTCCCTGGTTGGCCACTCGGCAAGCCATGCAGGCCACGAGTTCGCTCTCCTCGCGCTGGCAGCTTTTCGTCCACCAGGCCGAGTGGAACAGTATCGACGCCGTCGGTCTGGCTCACAAGTACAACGACTATGCAGGCCGCGCCGCCAGGCCACGCCTCAAGAAGACCAAGGTTGCCGCACCCAGCCCGCCACGCATCCCTAAGTGCTCCAAGGCAACATCCTGGCACAAGAGGGTGGCAATCGCGATCAAGGATTGCGCGCAGGTCGACTTTCCCCTTCGTCGGCTTCGAGCGCTGCGGGTTCTCAGCAAGATGAAGGGCGACGACCTGGTTCTGGCCACCGACCTGAACACGATCACCATCCTCGCTACCTTGGCGGAGGCCACGCCTTCCCTGGACATCGGCACGCTGCAGGGCATCGCTGCTTACGTCAACGCGGCTGCCGACAAGATGGTCCAGAAGGAGGCTGCCGCGAGGCAGTCGAGCTACAACGACTGGGTGATCGACAACCACACTAGAGGCACGGGGGCCCTCCATGCTCTTACCAAACCTCCACAAGGCTGGGCGCCTCGCCCTACGGGGGCGTCTCCTGACGGCTCTCCTCCTACCCTCCAGGAGACGGTTACCGCCTTGGTGAAGGAATGGTCTGGGTACTGGGGCTTGGGGGGCCCCACCTCCTCCTGCGCCAGCTCCCAGGAAGCCCGCGTTGACTGGCCAGATGAGATTGGCGAGAGGCCACCTAGGCCCACACTCGAGGAGGTCAGGAAGGTGATCAGCAGCTTCAAGGAGGCCACGGGCGCGTCCTTCGACTCGCTCAGGCCCAGGGAGCCGCAGCTGATGGACGACGAAGGCATCGAGGCCATGATCGACCTGATTGACGTGATCGAGCAGAGGTGCGAGTGGCCCGATTTCGCCACCAAGATGGCCTTCATCCCCAAGACGGACGGAGGTCGCGACGAAGAAGTCCAGGATCCTCGCGAGCAGCGCCAAGCTGAGGAAAGGGCCCCAGGCCAAGCTCATCAAGGCTTGCGGTGCTGTTGCAGCGTCGAATGCACGCAACCTTGGAGTCGACCATGCCGAAGGCGGGCGGCGGGCCAGTGCGGCGCGGAAGCTGCGCATGGCCAACGCCAAGGCGCGGCCCCCTCGCATCAAGCGACTTCTGGGGCGACGGCGAGGCCGAGCCGCAGCGGCTATGGTCGCGCTCACAGGCCTTACGCCCAGCATCATGTATGGAGTTTCGTGCACTGGGATGTCTGACAGCGAGCTCAAGCACACCAGGGCGCCGGTAGCCAAGGCCATAGAGCCAAGACCGCAGGGCAAGTCCACCACTGGTTGCCTCGTCTTCGGCGGGCCGAGCGACATCGACCCGATGCATGGCGCGACCTTGGCGCCTGTCTGCACCCTCGCACGTGCGCTATGGGAAGGCTGGACCCCTGCAAGTGTGCCCAAGTCGACTTTCGACAGCTTCGCGAGGCACGCACGCACATGGAGCGAGGTCCGAGGGCCAATCTCTGCGGCAGCCCTGACGCTAAGGCGCGTAGGCTACGACGTGCGCAGCTTCGACCAGTGGACCAGGCGCAACACTTGCGAGGCCATAAACATCACATGCTCTTCGCCAGGGTACATCAAGCAGGTGCCACGCAAGGACGTGCAGGCCTGGCAGCTACGACAGCTAGCGGCTGACACGCACGACAGCATCATCAACGGCGCCTTCGTCCCACATTTGCACAGGTGGCTCAGCACAGGCAAGGCCTCCACTGCTGAGGGCCGCAGGTGGAAGCCGCTGGACGAACAGCAGAGGGGCTACATGAGGTCGCTACTGGTGCACGGGCAGTGGCTCAACCAGCGAAGGTGCGAAGCAGCGCCGCGACTCGCTCCTACGCCGTATTGCGCGCTACATCCGAACGCTCTGGGCGCCCTGTGGCACCGTCGCCTGGAGCGCTGCGAGAGTTGGCCCAGTTTCGAGATACCAGAGGAGCTGGTAAAGTTCAAGCGGTCCGCGTCCAGTGTCACTATCAAGAAGCTGTTCGAGCGGCTCCTGCTGCCCGAGCCCAGCCACGACTGGCGCCCCCCGCAGGACGACCTGCCCCAGGGGCTGCGGTGGCTCAAAAGAGATGCCGACCCGTTCACCAGCACCGAAGTGTTTGCCGACGGATGCTGCTACGAGGCTGGCACTTCGCTGGCGATGGCAGGGTTCGCAGTGGTCGAGCTACCGCCTGGGCCAGAAGGAGAAGACCCAGGCAAGGGATCTTGCGTCAAGGCCATGGGCGCCCCTTTACCTGGGCCGATCCAGTCGATCGACGGAGCCGAGCTGCTCGCGCTCTATGCTAAACTCAGGCACTCGCTCCCTCCCAGCACGGCCCACTTCGACGCCGACTACGTGGTCGAGGGCATGAGGGAGAGAGGACGCGAGGCCACTACCTCACATAAGTCCGCCTGGGGGCGCTGGACGACTTCGGCGACCTCAGCAGCGACGATCCCACTGTGCGGAAGGTCAAGGGCCACGCGTCCTTCAAGGAGGTGGACGAGGGCAAGATCACACTACGACGTCGGCGAGGCAACTGCGAAGCTGACCGTGCGGCGAAGTTCGCCACGGACAACTTCCGAGCGCCAGAGCAGGTGCGTGAGGCCAGAAGAACCAGAGCGCTCACCCTGGACAGCGCGGTCTTCTGGGTGTCGCAGGCTGGCGCCGAAGCTGCTGACCTCAGGATGGGCTTTCGCGACAAGTACAGGCAGCCTGAGACCAAGGGCCCCAGTCTTTACATCACCAAACACGAGCTGGTCAAGATCGCGGGCGGCCAGGCGCTCCACTGCCTGCGGCGTCCAGGCGCTCCACTGCCTGCGGCGCCTGCGGTCGGCCTTCACCGACATCTCGACCAAAAACCTCCCAAGGCAGAGCTGCACGCCGAAGGCCTTTTTGCTCCTGACGCCTACACCAGCGGGGGCAAGAAGCGGCCGAGTGCCTCTGCCCTGGCGCATGCTGGCGCCGCCGCAGTGGCAGTAGCAGCAGCACGCCGCTTCGTGGAGGACGAGAGCCAGCCCACCCACGACAGTGGGAAGGCGAGCAGCAGCGTGGCGGGGCCCTCCCTCGTACAGCATCGTGGCGTGAGCCAGAGCCTGGGTTCCGACGGCGACGGTGACCTGCGTGCTGACGCGGTGCAGCCGTTGGAGAGCTCCCCCCCTTTTCAGCATCGTGGCGAAAGCCAGATTCTGGGATCCGTCGGTGACGGTGACCTGCGTGCTGGCGGGGAGCTGCCGACGGCAGGCGACGGGGGCGCTGTGGCCCAGCCTGCTGCGCCGCCGCCTAGCGGCTCTGGCGCGCTCGACGCGGATGGAGGCGGCCACGGCCTTCGAACGTACTTCGGGTACCGTGTCTGCCTGAGGTGCTTCCAGCACGCGAAGGAGGTGAAGGGCAAGCATAGGGGGCTCGGCATGGCCTGCGCCCCAGCGCTCAAGCCCAGCGCCCAGGCCGAACGCAGAAGGAAGGCTGAGAAGATAATGAGAGGAGTGGTGGCTCCTTCGGGGAGGCCACTCGCGTAATGGTGTCGCGGCGGGCTCCACTTCCTCATCTGAGCTGTCGCCCGCGTCGCCTGCTGCGTCGCCGCTGCTCTGCCCTGTCGAGGTGCCGCCGTTGCGGCGTCTCCAGAGGCGACCAACAGGGCTGCCGTGTAGCCTGCGGCGCAGAAGCTAAAAAAAAAATCTCGGCCGCCGAGGGCGCCACCTATGGCGCAACCGAAAGGAAACGGTGTTATTCTCAGCCGCCGAGGGCGCAACCTATGGCGCAACCGAAAGGAGACGGATTGATTCTCAGCCGCCGAGGGCGCAATCTATGGCGAAACCGATACGAAACCGAGCTGGAGCAGGAGGAAGATGAGGAAGACGAGGAGGATGAGGAGGAGGACGAGGAGGAGGACGACGACGACGGTCAGGATGGGGAGGATGACGGGGAAGAATAAGAGTAGTACGAGGACGACGTGTGGGCATTCGACTGCGTGCGGGGCTACGCCCGATTTATGCTCGGCGCTTGGGCTGGCGATGGGGCCCAAGCGACAAGCTGTCTTGTGATTTCACATGTCCAGGCCACCCAGAGCGTGACATCTAACATGGTGATCCCGAGCTGGAACAACGTGAGTGTACGTGGCCAGGCCACCAAGGGGGGTACCTAACATGGTGGCCAAGAGCTGAAACAAGTGTATTACGTGCCCAGGCCGAGCAGGGGGGGTATCGGGTATCGAACATGTTGGCGCCGAGCTGGAACCAAGTGTTTTCACGTGTCCAGACCACCCATGGGGTATACTACATAAAGGTCACGAGCTGGAACCACGTGTTTCACGTGCACAAGCCACCCAGAGGGGTGCCTAGCATGGTTACCCCGAGCTGGAACCACGTGTTTTTACTTGTGCGGGGCACCCAATGGGGGGGGTATCTAACATGTGGTCGTCCAGGCGCCACCAGCGTGGGGGCCCACAAGAGCCAGACAATACCAATACATCTCCACCAGAAGTGGAACATCTTGACACTGTGTTTTCGGCGGGTGATTTTCCATATTCTAAATTCGGGTATCTAACATGGTGGTCCCGAGCTGGAGCCACGTGTTTTCACGTGTCCAGGCCTCGAGCTGCAACCGCGGTCTCGGTCGTCGCCGTCCGCCGTCGTTGCCACATTCGCCATGCTCATTTCGACCTGTTGCTCGTGGGTCGATCATGCTGTTCCTCGGTCGATATCGAGTCGGATGGATCGGATAGAACTGGGCCCCGGCAGAGGGCCACAGCACCCCCTTGGCATGCCCCAAGGTACCAGTGCCAGCCCGAACAAGAAACAAGAAAAACATGTTTGATTTTTTAACCAAAAAATGTTTGCTTATATGTGTATATATATATGTATGAACAAAACCCTCCAACAAAACTCCGGGCCGCCTGCGGGAGCGCGCCGGTGGAGCTGGAGCTCGACATCCTGCGGGGTCCCGCGCGCCGCGCGGCCCCGCGCGCTGACGCCCCGCGTCTGAGGCCGTGGTGATCTCCGAGGATTCGCTCTGGCAGGCCTCGGGAAAAAACAGCGAACACTCGTGCCACATTCAGCTGTCAATGCCCCCCAGTGGTCCAAGTTGGCGGTGGGTTGAATTCTCTCAAGACGGAATTGCGAGGTTACACAAGGCTCGCATGATTTGCTACCGAAATCCCCGACGGTACCTTCAGATTGAGGGGGCCGAACGGTCTGACAACATCCCTGGGTGCGTGGGCGAAGAAGAGTTCCGTGGCTCGGATTCTGCGTGTTTGTCGTTTGCTGGTGTTATTGTCGTCCCCCACACGACCCACCTGCGACCCACCCCGCGCCCGCCCCCTCTTATCCGCAATTTCGGCTACACGCAAGAGTGACCCTGGGTAAGAGTGACCTTTGGTGCGCGGCTTTTTGGGGGCCGTGGGGGACCAAACCTGGGCGCGCAAGCCGCTGCTCCTGCTTCGTTTTCAGCCATCTGGCGGCCCATCTGTGCCCGCACCAAAGGTTACTCCGGCGAAAGGTCACTCTTACGTCTAGTCGAGCGATTGCGGGGTGCTACGCATGTTCAATCCCGGCGTCGATTTCGGGTCTGGGATACGAAAAAACGGATACGAGACGAAAGACTACCCGCGGGGAAGCGGCAAGGACCGCTGGGACCGCGGACAAGAGATCGGCGGATGCCGGGGCCTTCGTCCCGCAGACGACCCTCCCCGCCTGAAAGGCACTGTGGGCACCAGGGAAAACGAAGAATGACATAAACGCAAAAATTCGTCAAGACGAAATCTCACTAGAAACTGTGAAACCTAAACAACATTCGTCAAGACGACTCTCTAGACGACGTTCGTCAAGACGCCATCCTAACATCACAGAACTGTGAAAGACTATCTCACTAGGGGATAGAAGAATTACATGAACATAAAATCTCGGAGGGCCGCGCGGAGTTCTCGGATCGGCGCTGGACCCCCCTCCCCGGCGCGCTGGAGGCGCGGCCAGGGGCGGCGCCGGAGGCGCCGCCAGGGGGGTCCAGCGCGGATCCGTGCCTCGCGGGTGCGGCCCTGAGGCCATCTGCGCCTCCCTGGAGTGTAAAGCTGGGGCCCCCGTGGGACCAGGCCACCACTGGCAACCGCCGACACCTCCTCATCCTCCTCCTCCTCATCCTCCTCCTCCTCCTCCTCCTCCTCCTCCCTCCCTCCTCCTCCTCTTCCTCCTCCTCCTCCTCCTCCTCCTCCTCCTCCCCTCCCCCTCCTCTCCCTCCCTCCTCCTCTCCTCCTCCTCCTGTTCCCTCCTCCTCCTCCTCCTCCTCCTCCTCCTCATCCTCCTCCTCCTTCCTCCTCCTCTCCTCCTCCTCCTCCTCTCCTCTCCTCCTCCTGTTCCTCCTCCTCCTCCCTCCTCTCCTCCTCCTCCTCTCCTCCTCCTCCTCTCCTCCTCCTCCTCCTCCTCCTCCTCCTCCTCCTCTCCTCCTCCCTCCTCCTCCTCCTCCTCCTCCTCCCCTCCTCCTCCTCCTCTCCTCCTCCTCCTCCCCCTCCCTCCTCCCTCCTCCTCCTCCCTCCCCTCCTCCTGTTCCCTCCTCCTCCTCCTCCTCCTCCTGTTCCTCCTCCTCCTCCTCCTCCTCCTCCCTCCTCCTCCCTCCTGTTCCCTCCTCCCTTCTCTCCTCTCCTCCTCCTCCCTCGTCTCCTCCTCCTCCTCCTCCTCCTCCTCCTCCTCCCGTGGGTACAAGCCCGGCCAGAAGGTTTCGAGTAGGGGATCGTCCACAGAATTGACTTACCCTATATGTGAAATTCTCGTCGGACATACCAACAAATACGCCTACTGTTCAAAGACCTACGAGCATCATACGCATGTCTCGTGGATTGGGCGAACACTTCTACTCTGGGGTGAATCAAATATGTAGTCGATCCCCCACTCGAAAGTTGGTATTCTGGCACAGGCCACCTAGGCCCCCCAGGACGCTGCCACTTGTCGGCGGCGAGCGAGGGGGGGAGTGAGAAGGGGAAGGCCTTCTCAGAAGGCGGCGGGACTTTCAGAGACCCTCCAGCCTTCTCGGAAGTTTTCGAAGCCTTCCCCGAAGAAAAACAACAAATCTCAGAAGGCGCGAGGGCTTCTGAAAGTCCCGCCGCCTTCTGAGAAGGCCTTCCCCTTCTCACTTCCCCCCTCGCTGGCCGCCAAATTTGAGGCCAGGGAGGACAGAACACTTGGTCCGTCCCACCCTCCCGACCTTCCCCCAGACCCCTCCCCCCCTCTCATCCTCTTCACTCCCCCTCTCGCCATGCGCCGAAAATGGGTCCCGAAGGAAACGGCTCATGGACAGACCTGGGGCTCCCCCCAGGCTGGCCTGACATCCTGAGTCGTCTTGTGCCGGTCCAGGGGCCCAAAAGAAGGGCGCGGGGGCCCCGACACACCGAATGCTTTCCAGCGTGGGCCCCAGATCATGGATCCTTGCGCTCTCGATTGTGCAGCCTGTGCGGTGCACGGTGGACGGGGTGAAAACAACTTCCTGAGACCGTCGACGGCAATCGCAACATGATGAACAATAGCGCAGGTCCATCACCCCGCTTTCCGCGTCGAGCCCGGGTCGAACGCCGAATCCGTTTCGACTCCGCGTCGAGTCAACATCGGAACCGCGTCGAGCCCGTGCCGGAAAGAAGAAAGTAGCGCAGTTGGAGACCGTTTTTTTTTGAATCGGCGATAACCCGGGTTATCCGGGGGAAGGGGGAGGAGGGGACCGGCCGATAACCTAACCTTCGGGCTGTGGACAGCCCTGCATATGACAAGAACAGGAACGGGCAGGGCCATCGTGAGGTGCGCACCTCCTGCAGCTCCCAGGAAGCCTCTCCTCGGGAGGGCGCTGGCTGCGTGCCTGCGCCGAGCCTGGCCGGGGCCGCCGCAGGCAAACTCATGGCGCCCTCTGAAAACCGCCATCTGATTGATGGTTTCGGCTACACGCAAGAGTGACTCTGGGTAAGAGTGACCTTTGGTGCGCGGCTTCTTGGGGGCCGCGGGGGACCAAACCTGGGCGCGCAAGCCGTTGCTCTTGCTTCGTTTTCAGACATCTGGGGGCCCATCTGTGCCCGCACCAGAGGTCACTCTGGCGAAAGGTCACTCTTACGTCTAGTCGAGGGTTGAGCAGGGACTGGCCGTCCTGGCATTCCTCCTGGCCTTCCACGACATTCGAAGGACAGCAAGAAAGTTCAGATAAAATAGCAACCACTGCTCAAAAGAAGACCGCATCGGCCAGGAACGTTCGCAGCACATCTCGTGCAAGCCACAGAAGGTTCTAAGAACCTTCCTTGGTGGGCCTATGGGCAAGCCAGGGCGCCTCGCGGCTGCTTGAGAGAGAAAACGTCAGGAGGGGACCGGCTCGGGTGGAAAACATCGACATGGAATCGGCGATACGTCGCCGCCGAGAGATCGGCGGCAGGCCCCCCTGGGGTGAACCCGCACATTCCCGGGCGGGGTGGGCTGTCGGGCCCCCGTCGGCGATGACTGGGCGATGGTTATGTTGCATCCTCTGGGGACCTTGGTCTGGTCCGTCGCGGCCCTATCCCCCTACAGGGGGATTTGGGACGAAAAATGAAAAACAGTACATACATGCTCAACAGAAATCAAAAAAAGCTCAACACATCGTCCCCAGACTGTCTTTGGACTGTGTTTGACTACTCCTCCTGTAGAGGGACAGGCCCGACTTGACGCGAAATCCGCGTTGAGTCCGCATCGAGCCCGCGCCGGGCACAAGAAAGGACATCAACCTTGGGGGCAGGCGATGCCCCCCGAAGACGCCACGCAACGATGGTGGGGCCGATATGCTTCCCGCCCGGAGCGCGTAACCGCCCCCCCCACACGCGGCCCCCGACCTCCCACCCCCGCCGCCGCGTCCTGCGAGGCAGCGCGTCGTCGGGCGCCAGCGTGGAACGGCGAGCGCCCTCCATGGCGCTGGCGCCCGCGCTCGCGCTCGCGCCCGCGCCGTGCGCCCCGCGCGCGGGCCCGCGCCCTTGGTCCGCTGAGGCGGGCCTGCACCGGCAAGCGCAGCCGCGGCAGCTGTGGCACGGGCGGTCATGGCGCAGCGGGCGGCCAAATCCCACCAGCCCTTTGGGCGACAGGTGGTCTCACGAGATCCCTCTTCCCTCTTCCAAAAAAGACCCCCTGCCCCTACGGGTAGGGGTTTACCCCTCCCCTCACCCCTCCCCTGGACCTTTTGAGGGGGCCCCGCGAGGTGTCAGGGCGCCCAAAACGGCCTCGGCGAGGAAGCCAGGTGTTGGCAACATTTTGGCCTCTTTGGGGGGGGGCGAGCGTTGCACCACCAGCCCTCTGGGCGCCAAAATCATTAGTTGTACCAAGGTTTTTGCCCCATGTTGGCCTCCTTGGGAGGGGGGCTGAACGTTATCCCACCAGCTCTCTGGGCGCCAAATCATTGGTTTTACAGAGGTTTGGGCCCCATTTTGGCATCTTTGGGGGAGGGCTGAACGTTATACTATCTCCTCCTTTGATCGATGGCCTTCAAGATGGAGAGGCCTTCCAGGGCTCCCAAGAGGGCCCCAAAAGAGTTCCAAGAGGGCCCCAAGAGGGCCCCAAGACCCCTTAAAAGGGCCCCAAGCGAGCTCCAATACCCTCCCAGAGAGCCCCAGGAGAGCTCCAAGAGGCGATTTTGAAGGCTCCTGGGAGGGGGCCGAAATCGAGGACTCCACATCTTTTGATCGATGCTCTCCTAGATGGCCCTATCAGGACTTCCAGGGCAACAGCCGCAGCACCAGCAGAGGCAGCAACAACATCAGCAGCACCACCAACAGCAGCAGCACCAGGGATCACACTCTTTGGATCCCTCCACCTCCTCCTCCTCCTCCTCCTCCTCTTCCTCCTCCTCCTCCTCTTCCTCCTCCTCTTTCCCTCGCCCCCACGCGGCCCCCAGGGATGGCCCGAAGAGGCCTTCAAAGGCCACCCCCTTGCTCCCAGAGATCTCTCGGTTCACCCTGGTTGCTCGCTTTGTTTCCCTAGATGTATCCCATCGTCCGTTTTCCCGTCAGCTCTCGTGGGCAGGGCCTCTGAATGGGCGCGAAGCGTGAAGAATTAGGCGGCGAGCGAGTGGGGAAAAGAGAAGGAGAAGACCTTCTCAGAAGGCTCTGAAGTCACCCGGCCTTCTGAGAAGTTTCCTAAGACTTCCCCGAAGACAGAAACAGCTTCTCAGAAGGCGCGAGGGCTTCCGAGAAGCCCCGCCGCCTTATGAGAAAGCCTTCCCATTTTCACTTCCCCCCCTTCGCTCGCAACAAAATCTCGCCTGGCCAGGGCAATCCTGGGCTCCAGTGGGGGGCGGCCAAGAGGGGGGTGTCCAAGAGGGGGGGGTGCAAATCATGGCCGGAGGCATGTGCGCGGCCCAGGGGGGGGGGGGGGGGGCAGGGACGCATTGAAATAAAAAGAGGGGCCATGAAATCTGGGGTAATATCATGGCCCCGCCATGATATCCACACACCCCTAGTCATCACCCCCCTCTTGGCCGCCCTGCACGGTTCCCCCTGGGGCCGTAGGCGACCCAAGGAGGAGGAGGAGGAGGAGGAGGAGGACGAGGTGGAGGAGGGGGAGGAGGAGGAGGGAGGAGGAGGAGGAGGAGGAGGAGGAGGAGGAGGAGGAGGAGGAGGAGGAGGAGGATGAGGAGGAGGAGGAAGGGGGAGGAGGAGGAGGAGGAGGAGGAGGACGAGGATGCCTCGTGGCCAGGACCGGGGGGGCCTACAGCCATCAAGCCACCGAGGACGAGCGCTGCACACCAGGAGCGATGGGGGCCTCGCCTGGCCACGGCGAGCCGCGGCCACGGACAGGTTCCCCGACGCGGGTCTGAGGAGCGGCCCGAGAACCAGAGCATTGCGCTCCTCCCTCTCCTCCTCCTCTCCTCCTCCTCCTCCTCCTCCTCCTTCCTCCTCTCCTCCTCCTCCCTCCTCCTCCTCCTCCTCTCCTCCTCCTCCTCCTCCTCCTCCTCCCTCCCCTTCCCTGCATCCTCCTCCCTTCCTCCTCCCTCCCTCCCACCCTCCCTTCCCTCTCCTCTCCCATCTCCTCCCTCCCTCCCTCCCTCCATCCTTCCTCCTCCTCCTTCTCCTACCTCTCCTCCTCTCTCTCGCTCTTCCCTCCCTCCCTCACTCCCCCCCTCCCTCCCTCCCCCTCCTCCCTCCCCTCCCTCCCCTCCCTCCTCTCCTCCTCCTCCTCTCTCCTCTCCTCCTCCTCCCTCCTCCTCCTCCACCTTCTCTCCCCTCCCCTTCCCTCCCTCCCTCCATCCATCCCTCCCCCCGAGAGACGACCCCAAGACAGACGAACGCGAGCAGGGACGGAAATAGACCGCTCGGGCACCCTCTCTCTGATATCCATATCCACCGCCTGTGGAGGTCCGCGAAGATCGACCCCCCAGGCGGTGCTTATGAATAAATCCCCGCCTCGGAGTTGAGACCATGTTTCTGTTTTCGGCGATACAGCCCACCAGTATCAGAAGGACGCACGGTAAGGATGCAAGAGCCTTGGAAGGCTGTATCGACACTTTGCGAGCGGGACGCGGCCAACGAAAGTGGCCAAAGATGGACCGAGGAGGCAAGGATGGCAAAGTACCCTTGGGAAGGTTGCCCATCCTTCCCATGCGGGTTGACTGTAACCCGGGCTACCCAGGTATCCTAACGTTTTCGCGTTGCGCAGCCCCACGGACGCCAGCGCGCACCAGTACACTGCTCACCCCCTTCGGACCTGCGCAACTGGCAACCGACAAGGTCAGGCTATCCGAGGGAAGGTATGGACAACACTTCTGCCCGTATCCACTGTAGTATGGAGTTTCGGGCTCTCTTCCCCGGAAGACCGAGGCGCACTGGATATGGATAAGTTTGCCCCCTAGAGGCTCGATTGATATCCACATCCAGTGCGCCTCGGCCTTGGGGCGCCCCTGCCAAGAAAGTCCAAGACGCACTGGATGTGGATACAAATCTTGCCCGCAGGAGGAGGTGGGCGGGCGGGCCCGATAACCCAGGTGATCGCCGGACACTTGCAAACAGTCTCGATCCCCGATCTGGCCCGAACCTCTCTGGGGAGGCCACAGCAGGAGGACGACCGCGCGCCCCTGGGGGCCACCAGCTTAAGCCATCGCTCGGACGTCCGTTCCCCGTGCACTGCTCGGTTTGATACGTCAAAAGGAAGAAGGGGTACCCATACCGCTACCCCTCCTACTTTTTCCCTTTTGGAGCCTCCTGGGAGGCCCTCGTCGCCACCGCTGGATTCGGCCTCGAAATCCTGGTTACAACGCACCCCAGGGATCCCCAGCTTCCTCTTCCCTAGATGACCCGAGAGGCCCCGAGATTTCTAGATTTTCTGGCGCTGGCCTCGCCGAACGAAAATACTCACCTTCGAGCGATGCCGGGCCAGTGACCGACTCCAATCCGGGCGCCCCACGAGACGGCCCACGCAGGGGCCGCGAGCCACGACGAGGAGGTCACGCGCCAGGCTCATGTCGGGCATGTACCCTTGCAGGCGGACGTTGGACGAAAAATGAGCAACAGTCAAACAAAAAATTCAAACATGGCCAAACAATGCTCAAACAATCGTCCCCGATCTACTTTTTGACTGTTTTTGAATATTCCTCCTGCAGAGGGACACGTCCGACTCAATCCTGGCTCCTGGCGTTCCGCGGGGCGCGGACGGCACGGAGTGGCACGCGCCCGCCACGTGTGTGAAAGCAGTGGGTACGATGCCCGACAGCAAACGTAAGTAGGTCTCCGAGGGAGGAGCCTCGACACCCAATCGCCGTCTCGTCGCCGATAGCTGCCTTATCCCCCACCTCGCCCACGCAGCTTGCTTCAATGGCGAAAAAGCAAAAACAGTGCCGCCATCTGAAGGCCCATCGCCGACACGGTCAGCGCATCCTCACGAGGGGAGGAAGAGGAGGAGGAGGAGGAGGAGGAGGAGGAGGAGGAGGAGGAGGAGGAGAAGAAGGACGAGGAGGAGGAGGAGGAAGCGGAGGAGGAGGAGGAGGAAGATCACCTGCTGCTCTTGAACGGGCCAAGGCATCGCGCAAATTACCCAGGCAAGAAAAGCACGAGTGGCACAGAAAGCCGAGAGGCACACCAGTCACGAAAGGCACAAACGTCACCAGAGGACCTCATTCCACCGTGGCACAAGAGGTCCGACTACCAGGGAAGCACGGTGCCCCTGCCAGCGTGGCGCCTGGACGTCGCGGGCGGCGCCAAAAACTCGAAGCCTCCGTCGAAGAAGTCGTACGCCTCAGAAGCAGAAGGGATCCTATAATAATGCAAACGCCAGACGAGGGCGCTCCAGTCCGCAACAGTGTTACCAGTAGCTAGCAACACACCCCATGCCTACAACGCGCTGGTGGCCACCAACGGACATGCGCACTCGTCATGCGCAGCAAGGCACAAGAGTTAACTGCACCAAAGATGCCACATCCGATTCCTGGAAGCGCAGGTGGAGGCGGACGAGGCAGAAGAGGATTTGGCTCCACTGGGGTGTCAGACCGGCGATGCCGACCTGGGAGCACGCCGCACAGTCTGTGACTGCCTACCAGACCACCCCAACCAAACCCGAAGACCCGAATTTAACCCGAATGTCTGGTTGGGGGTGTGCGGGTCCCATGTGTTTTTACAAATGCTCCCCGACCCCCCCCCCACTGGAAATGGAGGGCCAATTGAAGCCTTCGGGTTGGGTTGGGTTGGTTTGGTGGGCGGTGAGTCTGGCACAGATCGGCTGTACGCAAGAGTGACCCTGGGTAAGAGTGACCTCTGGTGCGCGGCTTTCTGGGGGCCGCGGGGGGACCAAACCTGGGCGCGCAGGCAGCTGCTACTGTTTCGTTGTCAGCCATCTGGGGACCCACCAGCGCCCGCACCAGAGGTCACTCCTGCGAAAGGCCACTCTAAGTCTAGTCGAAGGGGTCCAGCACACACGGGGGCCCACCAAA